GCTCCCGCTTTCCCTCCTTTAGTCTCTCTCTCTGGTCAAATTAAAATAAATAAAGTAAAATAAAATAATAATTTTTTTAAAAAAGGAATGCAGACATCCAACCATCTTTGCTTAGCCTAGCCAGATCACCTCTCAATGAGGCAGAAGCCCACCCAGTTATCCTGGTGTGTATGATCCAACTCTACTAAACTGGCATTTGCACAACTTTTCAGCATAACACCCACCCAGACCTGTATCCCTCATGTCCACTGTCAGATATCCTAAGAAATATACAAACTCAGTTATATCTGTTATTAGTTAAACTCAAAGGGGGCAATTTCAATTCTTTAAGGCCACTGATTGGAGAAAAAAGAGCTCATTTGAAGCCTAAAAATGAGCTTCACAAGAATGCCAGAAAAGTGTGTGAGACTAACAGTGAAACTTTGCATAGAGATGAGTTTATTTCCGGAGAATAGGGCCACGGGTGGTTCCTGATTCTCACTGGCTGAATATCCAGGGTTAAGCAATTTGACTGGTCTAGGTCTGAGTTACCTGATCTGAAGATATAAATTAAATAACCTCTAGACAATAATAAAATTATATAATCGTTAGTACAATGCACTATACAAATAAAAACTGTTTCTATCAAATTAATAACCAGCATCTTTGTTCTCACAGTTTCTAATGGAAGGGCACATGGAGATGAAGAATTTATTTGCAAGGCTAAGAATGGTTTCATCCATGTGACACATAGCCAGAAGTTTAAAAATTCATTATGGCTACTCAAGACTTGAAATAAAGACACTAAGAGCGATTATGTGCAAAGCAATTGTTCAGATTAACCAAAGGCAAATTGGAAGAGATGACTAATTAGGAAGTCCAAAGTAGGTTTCACTAAGTAAAACACAGACTCTAGATGCAACACTGAAAACCCTTTTAAAAATCATGCCCAGAGCAGTAGCTAGCCATCCTGCCACTGAACCCACGGCCTGTCACGGGACATGTGCTGCAGTTCCATTAGCTTTCTTCTCTCCAGTGGTAAATGCCCATCTCAGGAAACAGTGAGTTTAGCACCCAAAATGACGTGGAAATTAGAAGGCATTTACTTACCACAGACTCTACTCATCGCCAAAATCATATCCTCATACACTGAAAGGGAGAAGGGAAATGTACCATTACGATGTGTAATTTTAACAGAAAGCAGCATTTTTGGCATTTAATTAAATTGATACAGGAAATCGTGATGTTCATTTGAAAAATGAAACATTAAAATGGCAATATTTATCCAAAAAAGGCTTCTGCGTACAATAAATCCTTCTAACCTATTCACTTTTTTAACAAGGAACAGGAACATTTTACTCCCCATAAATCTAACTATACATTTAATTGAATCACTTCATCAGTGTTTCAATCATTTTAACTACATTAGTAATGGGATAAGACTGGCTTCTGATGACAGACTGAAATGACATTTCATATAAACCCAAAGTAATACCATACATTTTTCTAAAACATTGAAACATCATTGAATGTAACTAAAGTACAAATGCATTTTCCTCTACAGTGTTACTGCTAAAGAAACAATATGCACTATAGCTAAGGATACAGATGAATATGCCTTCACAACACATCTCATCCTGTTGGGAAATAGATTTCTTCTTAGTATAACAAAGAAGGTTTTATTTTACCTTTGCCAGCTATTTCAAGGATAGATACATCTTGACCTCTCTCATCTTTCAAGGTTGCCTTGTATTCACCATGGTCCTTCTTTGACAACTACAAATAAAACACACCCTTAATTATGTAAAATCAATACTGTAATATAAAATGTAATAAATACTAATACTTTTTTTTGCAAACCATAGAAACGTGAGATGCAAATCAGAAGACAATGCAGAATGTACAGGTTATTTGAATGTACTTTATTTATTTTTTTTGCTTCTACTTGTGTTATTTAATACATGATACCTTTGGTATGAGCAGCTCACAAATTCCCTTCTCCAGGTCAGGCAATGTTTCCGTTTCATATAAAACATCATCCTTGAGCCATTTGAAAACTGTTTCTTTCTTAGTGTTTGCAACCTGCAACACAGAAATCTTAAGTTTAGTATGTGAATTATTCTGGCTCCTAAGGAAAAGGTCTATTAGGATTTAAATTACAGACCTTAAAAAAATCAATTTTTACTATAGACAGTCTCCGACAGGAGCTCGTAGAAAAGCTGTCACTTCTAATAATGGCAAATACATTTCCAAATTCCAGCTTCTAAAATAATTAAGCCTTCATAGTTGCACTCGGAAGGACAAATGATTCTCATCATTCTAGCTCGTGAAATTAGATGGCATAAAGATCTTTCAGTTTATATGAAATGTCACTAATAAAGACAAGTCGTAAGCAATTTATTTGGGGATTTATAAATAATACAGGATATTCTTAGAGGTCTATAAAACTGTTTAGTGCCTGCTCTTTTGGCAGTATGACATTTCAGGTACATCAAAACAGAGAGAATGTACCTTCAATGCACACAGAAACTTCACAGGATAAGAGGACTTTCCCTTTCTCCCAAGTCAACCTCTGGCATGAGCTTGAACTAGAAACGAAGCTTTGCAGAATCCCAAAGGAGAATAAGCATTCCAATTCACGTGTGCTCTGAAATACATGTCTTACATATGAGAAAGCATTCCGGTTCCATAGGTAATGGAAGGAATGGACGACATTGGATTGTATGAGACGGACAATTCTGCAATCACGTCCCATGTGACTTGACAAAATGATGTCAGTGAGAGAACATTACAAGCAATTGTGTGATTAGTCCTGATGGTGTAGTAGTGCAACATCCTTCAGATTTCCATATCTGCTGTGTCAATAGATGCGATTAGTGTCAACGCTGGAGTAGGTAATCTCTGCAAAGCAGGGATTCTGCCTATTTTATGCACAACTATCTCCCAGGGCATGACAGCCTGCCTGCCATCGGGAAATTACATCATAGATGTCTGTGGACTACATGGAGGTCATGTACTCCACTGGCTGGGAAAACAGATCTTCCTGCTAAAATGAGAACCACAACTCGACAGTAAATCCTGGATGGATTGAGGTGAACAACTCTAGCAGACACTTTCCTTTATCCTGACATTCCATTCTTCTTTGGTGTCTGGTTTCTGTCCCAAATTCCATCCCTTGCTGTCACTTAATACGATATTATTTCCCTTAACTCTTTTCTTCAAAGGGATCTTAAATTGTTGATCCTTGTATGCTAAATAAAACCTTTCCAATGATCTTCAGCCTTTCTTCTTTAAAGTAATTAATTTGCCCAATAGATGGACTGTTCTGATTCTACTGAATAACTAGTGTTTCTTATTTGAACCCCCTTCCATTTCTTTCTACCACGTAAAGTACATGTGAAGATCATACATTTCCTGTATGTAAAGATTATACATTTCCAGAGTGTATGTGAAGATTACAAAGTGCATGTAAAGATTATACATTTCTAAAAAGCATAGTAAGGTCACTTCTTATATACTATATGGCACACACTAGACTCTCTTTCTAAAAGTAAGTACTCTCTAATTCTCCACGTGTGCTGTATGAGAGATTTTTGACAGTTTTTCTTCTGTATATGAGTGAGGATTCTCTCAAATGTTTCTTTCTTTAAAAAGTTATGTTCTGTAAGTTTTTAAAAGTTATATCATGTATGTAACCTCACATAAATTTTTCTTCATGTATTTTGTCATGCAAGTAAATTTTCAAGTAATCTGTCACTAGGATTGGGGTCAGCAGGTGGCATAGTGGTTAAGGCGCTGAACTCCCACATGGTCAACCATGGTTCAAGTCCCGGACCCAGCAGATTAAAACTCACACTGGGTCCCTGTGTGTGAGCATTCCCAAAATCCGGAGAGGAGAATAAAGAAGGAACTACAGCATTGCCATCCCCCCCGGGGGCTGATTTCTTGCTTTCTGTCTCTCTGTCTCTCTCTGTCTCTCCAGCAAGCGCACTCACCTATAATAAAAATCTCTTCATTAATTAATTAAAAAGAATTGCAGGATTGACAGGGAGTTGAGTATGTAAATTGCAAAATACAAAAATCTCAAGTAATATTTATTTAGTTTCTCCAATATCTGTGTTTAAAGATTTATGAATCACTTTAGTCAGGGAATTCAAATACTTCTAAATATTTAAATAAGGTTATGCACCACTAAGAGGATACCAGAGCATACTGGGAAGCAGAACTCATGTTTTTTGTCACCACCCTGGGAGTTTGCATGTACTTAATATGCCCTGGACAAAAAAAGAAGACAACTATAACAGAATCACCCTGCCTTGTCTGGGCTTTTAAGTTGCTCACTAACTACTAAACTGATTTTTGCAGTGCTGGTCACTATAATTTGAAGATATGTACTATTGTGCATATGATAATTATGTGAGAAAATTGACATTTTTTCCAATATAAATATGCTAAGTAAAAATCCTGTCCTTTGAAGCCAGCAGGTGGCATAGCGGTTGGGATGCTGGAATCCCATGTGGTTGACCACAGTTCAAGTCCTGGACCTGGAAACTTCAAATTCATGCCTGGCGCGTATGTATGCATGCCTAAGTTACTGAGAGAAGAATGAAGAAGAAGAGATTGAGGCATGACCATACCCCCCAGGTGGTGATTTCTTGCTTTCTCTCTCTTCTCCCTCTACCTCCACCCTCTCCCACTCTCCAGTGAGTGCACACACCCTATGGCAAAAAAATCTAAAAAAAAAAAAAAAAAAATCCTATCCTTAATAATGTATTTTGTTTTGTTTTGTTCCCCTTTAAACACTTACTATGCATGTCATTTATTGAGCAAAACCTGCTAAGGTCTCTCCCCTTTACTTCTTTGCATGTAAAATTTTTCATTTATTTTTAATTTCCAAAAGCCATGTGCACTCTCCAGAGAGAGAGAAAGAGAGAACAAGAGAGAGAGGCACATGATCACACCACAATATTTTTTCCTCCATTTCTGCATCCTGACAGGATTTGGGGCATGCACGCACATGTGTCAAGCCTGTTTTTCATTCTGCTAGAGCCAGGATTAAAATCACAGTTGACCATGTGAGATCTGGCTCCCTGTGCATAGGGTTTCACGGCTGTCCTACGAGGCCAGCCCCAAACTTCTCTTTTTAGATTAATGTTTTTTCATCTCTGAATCTTCCTTTTAAATATATTAGTGCCAGAAACTCACTATCAAAAATAAGCTAAGTGTTTTTCTATAATAAATTTATGAAACTTCAAGCATCTTAAATATCAAAGCGTTAGCCCTAAGTATGGCTAAAAAGAGACAAGTAAGTAAACAGGAAATCTAAAAGAAAATTAATTACCAATATTAACAATGATTGGGGGATGGTGAGAAAGGTTAACCCCATGAATTTTGAGGAGTAACCTGGGACCCACTTATGGTGTGTTCAGCACTCCCTTACCTCTAAACTAGGATGTCCCACCCTCCTGTAATACCCCTTTCTTCAAGGTCCATGCCCTCCACCTCTGCTCCTCATGCTGCCCCAGCAGTAGATCACAGACTTCAGCACCATGAGCACACACTTCCCCTTAACCACAAGTCTGTCACCTGATACTCACTTATATCTTTACACCCTGGTGCCCAATGCCAAGGGTGACCTCCTGTATCTACCGTTGTAAACCAACTGGGCCCTGTGAAACAGCTCCCAGCCTGAGAGACAGCCAAGACTTACTCCTCTTTCCTCTCTATCCTGCTTGGCCACACACTGTTCTGCTCAACTTTGACAACTGGTTGACCAGCTAAACTACAATTAGACAATACCCAAAGTCTTTAGTTAATTTCCTTGTGTGCACATCTATCCAGCAAAATCCCAAACATGAATCCATCCCAAACGTCCCAAAAGTTCACAAGACCTAGAAGTCATCTGTTTAGTCACGCCTAATGGAAATGTCATGCAGTAGCATTTGACATCATTATAGGGTCTGACCACAACTGTTTCCTAAAAGGTTTCTCTAACAGGAGCAAGATTCTTATTGTTCCCCTGATAGAACTGTGTTTCTCACCTTACAAATAAGTCGAACTTCACATTCTTCTGTAACATCCCAGTGCAAATACTCAGCAAAATGAGGGCCTAAGAAGAAAAAAAGGAAAAAATGAGTTAAAGAAAGAAAAAAACAACTAAACAGGTAACTAAGTAAACCTATCTATGTGTATGTGTGTGCATATGTATGGTGTAAGCACATGTGCATATATATCATGGATTTTGCATGCTTAGGGGCCATCATGAACGAAACTACACAAGAGTAAGTCAAATACAAGAGAAAATGCTGCAGTGAAGACACAGTAAATTTGCCAGGTTCGAGGCTACTGCTGGAGTTACAATATACTGTTTCCATAGTAAACTTTTTATTAAGTAGGAGTACATACTAAAATGCTGCTTAGCAGTAGAGCATAGGTTTATATAAAAGCCAATAACATAGTCATTTATTATCACTATAAAGTATTAGGGACTGTACATAATTGTATGTGCTGTGCTTTTATACCACTGGCAGCTCATAGGCTTGTTCACATCTGCATCATCACAAACATGGGAGTTACACAGGCCCTATGACATTACAATGGCTACAACATTCTCCAGTGATAACTATCTGTTAATCTAATGGGACCACCATTGTATATGCAGTGTATATACAATGGCTACAACATTCTCCAGTGATATATATCTGTTAATCTAATGGGACCACCATTGTATATGCAGTGTAGTTAACTGAAATGTTAAATGGCATGCAACTCTGTGTGTGTGCATATGTACATACATGTGTGTGTGTATGAAATATATATTTTTAGTAACGGAAAATAGTTGCACAGTAGGAAACCAAAATAATTCTCAGGACTCTGGAATCAACATGTATGTCAAGACTGACTCTCTGCTGGAATCTCTGTTTCCTGATGGGAACACACTGTCTGATCCCTCCTTACTGACCTCTAAAATCTATTGCTCTTTAGAATAAAAAATAATAAAATCATTATATTTTCTTTCCCAAGGCATATATCTAAAAACATAGAATATAAAATTTTTAGAATAAAATAGCTAATAGAGAGAAAACCAATAGTACTTAACCTAGCAAGTTTATAAACATATATATTTTATTTATATAAAATTTGAAATCAAAGATGAATTTATGTATGTTTTTCAAAAATATCAATCATTTTTATTTAAAAATATAGCAGTAAGCCATATACTAATAACAACATTTTCCCATTCAACACAAAATATAAAGCAGATTTGGAAAGCATATATTGATTATTTTCATAGAAATGTATTCCATTAAGTTGGTAAAAAAAAAAAAGTTCATAATGTGGAAATTAGTAAAATAAAATATTTTTGCTATCAGAAATAGAAACTCAAAATAAAAAATAATTTATTGACTATATTTCATAATTCATATTTTAATTTTTAATAGTCATAGAAATCCCATATATAAAAATTACTTTAATAAATCTTTGGTTTGTGTTTGAGATTCTAAAAAGTATCCATTTGCCTTTGAACCTAGCTAGTAAATATTTTTGTAAGTAACATACTTAAACTACATTATTTGTAATTAAATAGTTTAAAAAATAAAGTTAATTTCAAGTAGAACAAATTCCTGACATAAGATATAGTTTCTACTTCTCTTTCTACATTTCAAAACCTAATAATACCTACAACTCACCAACCCCCTTTCCTCCTTCTCTCTCTATTTTTTAAAATCTGCTGGGGCATGTATGTTTTCAGAGAGAAACACACAGACAGAGAAGGAAAGTGAAAAGCACCCTTAGGGATGATCACTCTCTAATCCCTCCTCCTCCTCCTTTTTTTTTTTTTTTTTTTTTTTACAGATTTGGCATAAGAGCATGCGTACTTGCCAGAGAGGGAGACAGACAGAGACAGTGAGAGAGAAAATAAAAAGTCACCCCCCAGGGGGAATGGCCATACCGCAATCCTGTCTCTTCTATTCTCCTCCCAGGATTTGGGGCACACATGCACATGCACCCAGCATGATTTTCAAGCCACAGGGTCCAGGACTCAAACTGCAGTTGACCGGCCATGTGGGAGTCCAGTTACACAACCGCTATGCCATCTACTGGCCCCTTCTCCTTTTCTCCCTCCTTCATTTTGGACATACATGCACACGTGCCTGGAGTGTTTTTCAAGCTGCCAGGCTGGGGACTCTAACTGCAGTGAGTCATGTGGAATCCAGCCACCCTAACCACCATGCCACTGGCTGGCCCCTTCATTCTCTTTTGCAAAATTGTTGGACTTCATCTGGAAAATTTGGATAGACGTGACCTTCCCTTATCATTACCCAGGTGTAAAGTGTAAAGTCAGTTCCTTTATCATTCAGTTACAAAGTCCTAAGTGTCTACTCTGTGCTCAGCCCCACAAGAGTGTTACAGATACTACAAAAAACATGAAACAGCTAACTCTGTCCTTACAAGTTCAAGGCAATAGTAAACTTTTCAATAAGTGGATCGGATATAAAATGCAAAAAGCAGCAGGGTTCATTCAGTCAGGATCTACAGGGAGACAAGCAGCCCCATTCTGGACTAAACAGTGCCTCAGTTTGGCAAGGGCCATGGAAGGAACAAGACCACAGAATGACAAGCAGAGGCATTATGCAAAGGAGGGAGTTAAAGAAACGAGTCTGGGGGACCAGCAGTTAGCATAATGGCTATGTCACTGGACTCCCATGTAGTCGACCGCGGTTCGAATCCCAGACCCGGTGGCTTAAACTCACGCTGGGCACATTTGCATGCATGCCCAAGATCCCGAGAGGAGAATGGAGGTGAAGGGAATGCGGCGTGGCCATCCTTCCTGGGGGTTGATTTCTTGCTTTCTGTCTCTCTGTCTCTCTCTGTCTGTCTGGCGAGCGCACACGCCCTATAGCAAAAACCTCTTCAAAAAAAAAGAAAGAAAGAAAGAAAGAAAAGAAACAAGAAATGAGTCTGGGAACCAGTAGATGGCGGAATCATATCACTGGACTCCCACAAGGTCAACCATGGTTCTAGTCCCAGACCTCGTGGCTTAAAACTCATGCCAGGCACATGTGTGTGCATGCCCAAGATCCTGATAGGAGAATGGAGGAGAAGGGATTGCAATTTTGCCATTGAGCACACATGTCCTATAGCAAAAATCTCTTAAAAAAAAAAAAAAAAAAGAACAAAAAGAACGGAGACTAGCAGTTGGCATAATGGCTCTGTCGCTGGACTCCCATGTAGTCGGCCGCGGTTTGCATCCTGGACCCCATGGCTTAAAAACTCACACCGGGCACATATGCATGCCCAAAATCCTGAGAGGATAATGGAAGAGAAGGGATTGTGGCATGGCCATCCACTCTTGGGCAGTGATTTCTTGCTTTCTGTCTCTCTTTTTCACTCTTTCTGGCAAGTGCACATGCCCTATAGCACAAAAAAAAAAAAAAAAAAAATCTCAAAAACAAGAACAAGTCTGAGACAGGTGGTGCAGGTAATGCATATGGGAAGGGTCCTGGGTTTGTATCCCAGCACCTCCCTGAGCACTCTGAGTACACAAGCACATGCACATGCCCATGATCTGGGCTGACTCAGACTGAGGGTGGGTTGTGGTGATGGGACCTTGCTGGCAGTGTTGTCTCTCTGTTTCTGCATCTATACTTTTCTGAGTGTGTGTCTCTCTCTACTTCACTCTCTTACGGAAGAAATAGATAAATCTTGAAAATGTAAAGAAAATAAATAAGACTGGCTCATCCAGAAAGTTGTATTGGAGCATGGTAGGAAATAAAATTTGGCTAAGTAAGGTGGGCAGAGATTACAGAGAGCCTAAACAGGGTTAGCATACTATATATGATATTATTAAAGTGCTTTAAGCAAAGGAGTAGCGAAAGTAAACGCGCGTTTGGGGAGAATTGTGTCCTAACAATATATAGAAGAGTTGAGGTGGTTGTTCACCACAGAGTTAGACTGACTGTGGCCTTGACTAGGACAGTAATGGGAAATATAGACACTAAATAACAGAGCCAGGAGCTTTTAAAAACAGAAGAGAGTGCAAAAGCCTCAACAAATTTAAAAAAAAAAAAAAAAAGAAAGAAAGAAAAGAAAAGAAAACAGAAAGAGGAAAACATACAGATGAAATAAAGGGCAAAAAGCATAAAAGTATTCAAATTTTTACAGCTAAATTTTTCACTCCTTGAACATTTTAAATGGCATTATATAGGATGTGTATTTTAGAGCAATACTCAAACCATAAATCTTTGCATTACACAAGTGGGGTAGGGGGGCGAGTCAACTACTTACCTTGTTTCCTGAGAAATTCTTTTCTTTGAAATTCAGCCTCTTCTAGGACAGCCTTGAATGCTAAAATCAGTATTTAAGGGGGAAAACATATATAAAATATGTTTACATCTCTCCAGTCAAAAGAATTTTGTTCAAATTATCTTTTATGGGCATATGAAAATATTCAATGCAGCATACCATCTCCAATAAGAACCAGAGAAGATTGATTTTTGGCTTTTCCGTCATGAATTTGCACAGTGTAGGTACCTTCGTTTTCAATAGTAAATCGATCCATTACCATCTCAATAATGCCAGTTGATTTGTCACATTTAATTCTGTGTGTCTGGAAGCAATAAGGAAATAGAGAATTATACAATGAAATCCCTCCAGTTTTCCCTCTTGGCATTCAATAGTTGGATCAGCTATTATATCTCAAGGAATCGTGACACAAAAGAAGACAAAATGAAATTCTATCAACTACACCTCTGGGTGAGACAAGGATCAAACAGGAGATACAAGTTTTCATTTAGTGATAAAACCCTGGTTCTGTGTGGGGTGCTCCTGAAAACACAAACAGCTTCCAGGCTTCTCTCGGAAGAAAATCTGCATTACCCTGGAATGAGCTTCTAATATAAAATAATTAAGATTCATAGAAGAATATAAAATGATATGCATTATAACATCTCACAAGCGGATGATAAAACCCCATGAAAATAGAGACAATAAAGCAATCTTTACAACCGTTGTCATTTCAGTTCCTGAGAACTCTGACAATCACAAGCTTCAAAACTGCTGTGTTACATCAGGATGCAGGAGTCTGAGGTAAGGCGAAGACAGATGCAACTTCCAACAGGTTTGCAATTTTTTTTTAATCACTGTACAATTTCTAATACACTATGGGTTATGGAACGTAATATGATAGCTTCCGGGAGACAAGCCCATCTACCTCTTCTGGTCTTTTTGGAAATGCACGGGGGGAAGCTTTATGCTTTTGCAATTCCAGCTCCTCATATTCCCTTCGTGGGCCATGCTGTCCCTCCATTCTGAGCTTTAACACATGCTGCCTCCCAACGGCAGCCTGGCACAGCCTCTCCCTGCTCTTGTCATGTTTCCTGAACAGTAGGCCCTATTCCCTCATGATTGGCTCTGAAGGAGAGGCCCTGATGCTCTTACAGTGAGGTTGGGTGAACTCCCCATGGGCTCCAAAGATCCTGTCTCCCCCTCGGAGCACCCGTCTGACTGGATCCATTGTCTTCTTGCCATCTGTCTTGCTGAATGATGAGTCCTTGAGAACTGGCACTGTACCTAACGCCTTTTTGCAACCTCACATCATGCCTGGCCAGCAATAAATACCAAATGAACGCTTGTCAAATTATTCATGAGAAAGTCAGGCTAGCGAGTGACATGGTAGTTAAGATGGCTGGATCCCACATGTAGGATCCAGCTGTACAGTTCAAGTCCTGGACCTGATGGTTTTAAAAACACACCAGACATACAGGTATGTATGTCCGAAATCCCAAAAGGAGGGAGAGGTGGAGAAGGTATTGCAGTGTGACCATCCCCTACAATAGGTGCTTTCTCACGTTCCTTCTCTCTCTCTCTCCCTTTCTTTGTTTCTCTCCAGTGAGCACTCACACCTTTTGGCAAATTAGAAGAAAAAATAAGAATATGTAGAATGTTAACTTCTTTGGTTGACTATGGCATTGTCTATGGCATTTGGTTGTGGTCTCCTGATACTGTGAAGTTAGATTGAGCAAATTTTCCTTTAGGGACATCCACTTGTCTTGCATCTTCTCACTCGTACTTCTCAGTAACTGATTCTCTGCTGGCCTTTGTCCATTTATGTGGATTAGGAAGAAGCTCATACTATGTGCAGTGCTGGGATTGCCAGAGAGATGCAAAGATGACCCAGACATGACCTTGACCTCGGGAACTATAACATAAGAGGAAGACCAAATGTACACAGCTGGAAAGTGAGCCTCTTTGGTCAAGCTGAGACCTTCATTCATTTTCAGATCATGAGTTAGGCAAGACTATGAAGTTGTCCCATGATTCCCTGCTTTTGTCACTTCTCCTCCTTCAGCACCCACCCCAACCACCACCACCAGGCTACAATTCTCCTGCCTTGCTGGTCTCTGGAGAAGACAACTTCCAATGCTACCCAGCCCATTCAAAGCCCATTTCCCAAGACTCTGCTTGCTCATCATTTGTGATTAGCTCACAGATTCTGAAAGGTTTCATGGTTGCTGATGGATTGTGTTTTATTCCACCTGTGAATAGTACAATATTTGAAGTTAACCAGGCCTTGGAGGTAGAGGACCACATGGAAGTGTGAGTGACTCATCCTAACTACAGCTGTCATAGGGGCAGGACGTCATAGAGGGCACTGGACTCGCATTTGTCCCATATAACAGGATTGATTTCACCAGCCCTGACTTCCCCATTTCCGAAAGTAACAAGAAGGAGATAACGTTTCCTGTAGGCCTTCGTCTAATTTTCAGATTGAGTCCTTCTGGGATGTTAGATTTCCCAATAGGAATAAAACAATCTTTCAGAAAACTGGGAGGCCCTTGGTGCAAGATGAACTGAATTAAAAAATAAAAACTAGGAACCAGCAAATGGCATAATGGTTATGTCGCTAGACTCCCACATAGTCAACTGTGACTTGAGTCCCAGAATCAACAGCTTAAAAGTCACACTGGGCATGTGTGTGTGCATGTCCAAAAATCCCAAAGGTGAATGGAGGAGGAGAGATTGCAGCATGGCCATCTCTCCTGGGGGGTGATTTCTCACTTTCTCTCTGTCTCTCTGGCAAGCGCACAAGCCCCAAAGCAAAAATCTCTCAGAAGATCATTTTAATAAATAAATAAATAAAAACTAATAATCTATCAGGGAAAAAAAAAAAAACATCAACCCTGTAGAAACCATATTCCTTTATAAGCCTTACCTAGTAGAAACACTAAAAAGAATTTCTGTATTTAACAGTATTAGTTTAACCAGAAGATCAGCAATCATTTCCTTAATAAATCATGTATATTTATTTTTATAATGTTCTTCTTTCTCTTTAAGGTCACATTATGTTTTAATATTTCAAATGCCAGTGTCATAAGAGAGACTGTTGAATATGATTATCAGCAAAATAGCAACTTCCTTCAGTTGATCTCTCAGTTCATTTCCCTCAGCATCATTCTAAATTCTTCTGACCAGTCTCTACCATCCAAGGACATGTCCCGAGGTGACTCAGGGGAGCACTGTCCCTTTGGTCTGTCCCACTCAATTCACTGCATCATTACAACTTCCAGCTCTCAGTACAAAGAGGCGGCACATACTATCTCATTCCCCTCATCCTGTCCCCCCAGTTCCACCTCAAGACCCATTCCAAAGCTGTGATAATCAAAACAGCATGGAATGAGCACAAAAGCACACATGTGAACCAATGAAACAGAATAGAGACCACCCCAGAAATAAACCCCAAAATGTACAGCCACCTGAGTTTTGACAAAGGGCACCAGTAAATTCAGTGGGAAAAGAAAAATCTCTTTAGCAAATTGTGCTGGAATAACTGGGTATCCACCTGCAGAAAGATGAATCTGAACCCCTATCTCTCATCATTAACAAAAATCAACTCAAAATGGATCAAAGATCTAAACCTAAGACTTCAAACTATAAAACTCCTGGTGGAAAACACCAGGGAAACTCTGGGAGACATTGGGGTAGGTAAAGATTTCTTAAATAAGACCACCAAATCACAGGCAACAATCCCCAAAACAGACAAGGGAGATTACATCAGAGTAAGAAGTTTCTCCATGGCAGAAGATACAGTAATTAGTGGGAATCAAGGACCCATTTCAATAGTCCTTTGCCCGTGGATGCTCTCCTACCTACTTTACCTTTTCCAAATCTCTGCCTTCTCTGAATTCAGATAGTGTCCACTGCCCTGTTTTAACATATCCTTAATTTCATTTGTTTTTTTTATCATTCTCTAACGGAAGGCATATCGCTTTAGCTCTATGATAACCTCCATGAGGTTTGCATCTTGCTTTTATGTCCCTACTATTTCATTAGTGATGGCAAATAATCAGTAAATACTTGCCAAATATAGACTGCTACCCACTGGGAAGGAAGATGAATCCATGTTCTCAATGCTTTGGTTTCTGTTTAGTCAAAATCACATTCAGTCTGTAAGTGGATAAAGCCTGCTGTACCTCCACCCCAAGCTGTGATTTCCAGTAAACACACACACACACACACACACACACACACACACAACCACCTTTGCAATTAGAAATTTCAGTGTTAGTTCAAGTATGCAACTACACACTATATACTTATATAAGACCACTGAGTTTTTTTTTACAAATGAGAAACTGGAACAAAAAAAAATTGATATATATAAAATGGTAGAGAGATAGAAATGAATGAGAAAACATGGCCTCAGACTGCTATTTGAGTAAAAGATAATTTTAAGAAATGACAACCATGTTCCTTTGTCCCCATCCTTGAAGTCTAAAGTTGATCTGAACAGAGTCCTAAGTAGGAACAGAAATATGATAGCCCCATGAATGTGCCCCTGCTTGGTTCTTGAATTTTTTCCTGGTTTGGGTATTTACATTTGAATATCAACAGCAAATTTCAGTAGGTCAGACAAAAGCACTTGTCCTTATTTGTATGACATTACAGTCACCTCAAACATCAGTAAGTAGAGAGTGATAGGAACTCACTCTAATTAGTTCTGAGAAATAAGAAGGTATGATTCTCACCAATCGGATTCTTAACAAGACAGTAGCCTTTTCGATTTTCTCAGCGACTGCACTGCAGTATCTGGGCAGGTTTTAGAAAATAATTAGGCTTCTTGCTATTGCCATTATACCGCAAGATGAAGTTCAATGATTTTACGAGTGCCATAAATATGGGCTTTTATGTGACTTTCACAAAATAGCATCAATCTTCAAATGCAAAAGTCACCTGTGGATTGCTAATTAAAGAAGTGAAATAGTACAGCCATCTTCCAAAAGATTAGCCGTGTGGCAACGACACAGGTTTTTAAAGCAAGTTCTGTGCAGCGGGTAGGGAATGTTAATCAAAAGATGTTCTGCAAATAAAGTGCAATCACACTAAATTCCATTTCATTTCAAAGCATGATCTCTGCTCAAAGAAAATTTCCCCAATTACCTTGATCAAGAAGTACACTCTCACAGACAATATTCATACGGTTGGGGTTTTGGCAGCCCCAAAGAAACTATCTTCTTTCTACATTTTAGCCAATTCTCCCAGTTACATGAATCTTAAAGTTAGTCTTGGAATGGATTGACTGGAGGAGAAAAATCACATGATCCTTGCCCA